TCTAGGTGGTCACAAAGCACTGAGCTGATCTCCCTGTGCTATGCAGCTGCTTCCCACTAGCGATCGATTTTACATTTGGTAGTGTATATATGTCCATGCCACTCTCTCACTTCGTCCCACCTTACCCTTCCCCCTCCCCGTGTCCTCAAGTCCATTCTCTACATCTGCATCTTTATTCCTGTCCTGCCGCTAGGTTCTTCAGAACCTGGTTTTTTTTTTTTTAAGATTCCATATATATGTGTTAGCATACGGTATTTGTTTTTCTCTTTCTGACTTCTTCACTCTGTATGACAGACTCTACGTCCATCCACCTCACTACAAATAACTCAATTTCATTTCTTTTTATGGCTGAGTAATATTCCATTGTATATGTGTGCCACATCTTCTTTAACCATTCATCCAATGATGGACACTTAGGTTGCTTCCATGTCCTGGCTATTGTAAATAGTGCTGCAATGAACATTGTGGTACATGACTCTTTTTCAATTATGGTTTTCTCAGGGTATATGCCCAGTAGTGGGATTGCTGGGTCGTATGGTAGTTCTATTTGTAGTTTTTTAAGGAACCTCCCTACTGTTCTCCGTAGTGGCTATATCAATTTTAACAGTGCAAGAAGGTTCCCTTTTCTCCACACCCTCTCCAGCATTTATTGTTTGTAGATTTTTTGATGATGGCCATTCTGACTGGTGTGAGGTGAAATATAATTGTAGTTTTTATTTGCATTTCTCTAATGATTAGTGATGTTGAGCATCCTTTCATGTGTTTGTTGGCAATCTGTATATCTTCTTTGGAGAAATGTCTATTTAGGTCTTCTGCCCATTTTTGGACATCCTTTTTTTTTTTTTTTGTGGTACACAGACCTCTCACTGTTGTGGCCTCTCCCGTTGTGGAGCAACAGGCTCCAGATGCGCAGGCTCAGCGGCCATGGCTCACGGGCCTAGCCGCTCCGTGGCATGTGGGATCTTCCTAGACCGGGGCACGAACCCGTGTCCCCTGCATGGGCAGGTGGACTCTTCAACCACTGCACCACCAGGGAAGCCTGGGTTGTTTGTTTTTTTGATATTGAGCTGCATGAACTGCTTGTATATTTTGAAGATTAATCCTTTGTCAGTTGCTTCGTTTGCAAATATTTTCTCCCATTCTGAGGGTTTTCATCTTGTTTATGTTTTCCTTTGCTGAAGCACATGGTTCTTAAACCTGGCTGCACATTAGAATTGCCCGGGGAGCTTGGGTACCTCAAGGGAACTAAATCTGAATCTTTGGGGTGAGGTCTGAGCATTCTTACCTATGTTTTTAAAACTCCCCCGCGTGATTTATTTTTATTTATTATTTTGGCTGTGCCGGGTCTTAGTCGCAGCATGTGGTATCTTCGTTTGCGGCATGTTTTTAGTTGCAGCATGCGGACTTAGTTGTGGCATGCATGTGGGATCTAGTTCCCTGACCAGGGATCCAACCCAGGCCCTCTGTATTGGGAGCTCAGAGTCTTACCCACTGGACTGCCAGGGAACTCCCCACCAGGTGATTCTAATGTGCAGCCTGAGATCCAATTACAGCCATGGCTCTTAGGTTCTTCAAGTGTAACCCCTTGGATAACAGCATCAGTGTCCTAGGAAACTTGTTAGAAATACAAATTCCCCAGCCCTGCCCCAGACTCACTGAATCAGAAACTCTGGGCACTGGAGCCCAGAAATCTTTTTAACAAGTCTCTAGGTGATTCCTATGCAGGCTAAAATTTGAGAACCACTGAACTTAGAAGGGTGTTTTTCAAAACATAATGTGTATTTGAACCATCTGGAGATCTTATTCAAATGAAGATTCTGACTCAGGAAGTTTGGGATGGCACCTGAGATTCTGAGTTTCTGACAAGCTCCCAGAGGATGTTGCAAATCTACTGACCACACTTAGAGCAGTAAAGTGGTACGCACTTTAGGTAGGTACTTTATCCAGGTACTGTATATAGGAAAACTTTTATCCCAGCTAGCTTATACACAGATTAAACTTTTTACAGTTGTTTATACAGTTTTTCTTAATTAACACAATCTGGTGAATCTGCCTATTAGCTCTTTCAGTCCTGAGGAAAATCCTTGGGTTTTTGGTCCAACATTTTCTAGTTAAAACTGTTTTCAGAGTCCTTCACACAGTCATTGGTTTCTTAGGATTCTGCCTATAACAGTATTCCTAGAATTAGGTTACTCTGCTCCTGCAAAATGGTCAAAATGTACCTCTTTTCCCTTTGTCTAATCTGCCATAATCTTTCTTTTATTTCCAAACCGAGTTTCTACAGCAGCCTCTGCTCAGGACCCCCATTCCCAGTCCTATAGTTCTTATCTCTAGATTTTAATTGTTTGCAGTACATTTACTAGTGTAAATGTAATAATATCTAATAGTGAGTTACACAACATTTAGATTGGTCCGTCAGAATGCTGGTTTCCCTGACATCACACATATTTTGGGGGGAAATTTGGCTCTTGTTGTAGATACTGAATACTGTTTTGCTAGAGACTCCTTTGCTTATATTTGCTTTACGTTGTTTGCGTCATAATATTACTAAGAAGGAACATACACTTGTTGCTTAGTTCAAATTTGGCTATATTAATCAAATGTGACATGGGCTTTCTGCATTTAGAATAATACCTCTTGAACATAACAAGTAATTAATTTTTAAGACTTTTATTGTGAAGTAAAAAATATTTAGAAATGATTTTTAAAATTTCAGTTACAGAGTCAATAATTCAATAATCTTTATAAAAGAAAGCACCACCTTAAAATTTACATTCATAAGAAACAATCTAAAATGCATATGCTAAAATGATTTAATAGTACTTACAATATTATCAAATCATGAAATTCAGAAATGCTTTTTAACCACAGATCTAAGTCGGGGTGTCAGGCTCAGATGTCTTCAGGGCTAAGTGGGAAACACAAAGTAGTGAAGCAGTCTAATACAAGAGCTTGGAGTCTGGTGGATTATAGCAAACTGGGGAATGCATACCCAGTCTAAAGACTTTTCGAATTCAAAAATTTTGTTGGAGATATTATGCACACTGAATAAAACAACTGTGGGACAAGCTGTCCTGAACTGATTGCCAGTTTGCAACTCTGGGCTAAATGAATTTCTAGCAATTTATGTCCGCAATCTTCAAAATAGCAGACAGCACTTCTTTAGGTAGTTGTGTGGATATAGTCTTAGAACATCTGGATAAGAGAAGAAATTTTAAAAACACCTCTTTCACATTTATTTGGGAGAAATTAGTTATGCCTAAGAGTTAATTAAACTGAAATGAAATTTCACTCTTTTACCAATAGAAAGTTACATACCATAGGACATTATTGCTTAGTAGGAAATATTTATGTGAAAAATAAAGTACTGGTTTCACTAAAGCCATTGCTCAGAATGCAATCACCTCACTAAATACATAAGAAAATACTTGTAATTCAGTTAACAACAAGGTTTACTTTATCTTTAAAGGGTATTTTGTTGGAGAACTTTAGTAGATTTCATACTTTTAGTGAAAAGTAAAGGTTCTAATCTGAACATGTAAAATTGCTATAGCTCAAATGGCTGTAACCATGTTTGTTTGTTATGTCAAAGTAGTTTTACAGAATTTACAACACTGTATGCCATCAGTGACTTCATGTTAATCATTTAAAAATAGTTTTTAAAAATTAAGGTGATGGAGGCATTAGAGGGACAAATAAAATCTCCTTTAAAAAGCTACAAAGGCATCTTATAATTCAAATATCCTTACTAGACTAGGAATACATATTTTAAAATAACTCACAACACATATTTCAAAAAAATAAAACTCAAATATATTTTTTCTAAACCCCAAATATTTTCTACTTTTAAAAACATTTTAGTTCTTGGCTTGAGAAGTTTAACATAAAAAGAAAGCACCAGGAATTCCCTGGTGGTCCAGTGGTTAGGACTCTGCACTCTCGCTGAGGGCCCGGGTTCAATCCCTGGTCAGGGAACTAAGATCCCACAGGCCGTACGGTGCAGCCAAAAAAGTTTAAAAGTAAAAGAAAATAAAAAGAAAGCACCAAGTGTAGCCATATAATATTCCATTTTAAAAAGTTACTAGTTATTATATCTTTTCCGTAAAATAAAGTTTATACGGACAGATCAATTTCATATGTGGCCATTAATTTCTGAAATTAAAAAAACAAAGCTGTTAAGTACTTGGCCTAAAGTTAGATGTTTAGCAAATTCAGAGTATGTATACAAGAAAATGTTAAGACACAGATATTAATTAATGCAATAGGTCTTTCATTATTTCAGTGTTCATGAATTGAATCTTTTCAAGTAGGGGAAAAATGTTTGGCATTTTTTTCTAACCTAATATTTGGCAAAGTTTTAAAGTTTAGCCAAGTCTTATGCATCTTATCTGCATTCTCACATTCAATTTAATTATTAAAAATACTTAAGTAGAAAGCAAAAAGGATTTTTTAGTATTCAAAGTTAAAACTGATTTTACACATGATAAGTGTCCATGGCAGAAAATTAAAGTTGAAAATAAGATTATAAATTCACTGTGGATCCATAAAAGAAATAAACATGTTTCTCGAATCAAGTCAATAATAGAAATGTCATGTAAGGGCATATATACAATACAGGGTGACATATTACAAACTAAGTTTCACTTAGCAGTTCTTTAAAAACCAATAGGGTTTCTATGAATACATTTGTTTTAAATTAATAAATTATTCAAAATTAAAAATTTAAAGTTTACATAAATAGTAACAACAGACTAGATATTGATTTTATGGGATTCCCACAAATAGTACAAAATAGTTCAGCATTATTTCATCCAAATATTGGTTTACAATTATTCAAATGTATTTAAAGATTATAGTTGACTGATCTGTAACACTGAATTCCAGACTAAATTGACAGCAATTAGATATATAGTGCTGTCTGCTTGTTCTTCACATCATCAAAGGATCAAACTCCTTCCATAAGAAACATGATGGCTGCACTGGTTACGTACGTGATCCCATTAGTTAGCGTATTTACGGAGGAAGCGTTCAAATGCATCATAGATGGCGCGCCTAAAATTAAATACGAAAGAAAAACTACAAGTAATTAGCAAAAAAAGGGGGACAGACAGTGTTTTTACTATAAGTTATTTCCAAATAACCTGTGTCTTGCAAGCTGACCTCCTCTCCAAATAGCAATAGCTGTGGAAGAGGCAGGTACGTGATGCTGAGTGTTTGGATCCATGTAACTTCACCAGTACTGGAAAACTTCAAATGTACTTCAAACCGATGGTTCATAAATGCCATCTTTTCCTATGAAGCACTTTTTTGTGCCTTTAAATTTATATATGTATACATTTATGTATAAAATATGAAATGATAAAATGAAAAGGAACTGGTTTCTTTTTATTCTGTTACTTGTTGAAAATTAACTGGCTATAGAACTTTTCAAATGTAATATTCAGTCTACTGCATAGATTATGATATAGCAACTGAACTTAAAAGCCTTAGTTTCCGGGGCTTCCCTGGTGGCGCAGTGGTTGAGAGTCTGCCTGCCGATGCAGGGGACACGGGTTCATGACCCGGTCCGGGAAGATCCCACATGCCGTGGAGTGGCTGGGCCCGTGAGCTATGGCCGCTGAGCCTGCGCGTCCGGAGCCTGTGCTCCGCAAAGGGAGAGGCCACAACAGTGAGAGGCCCGCGTACCGCAAAATAAAAAAAAAAGCCTTAGTTTCCTACATTAACTCCACTAGGTATTGTAGTATTTTAATTGGAAAGGAAGAGTCAAATTGATCTGGCCCAAGTTCATAAGACATTATTTTTAAGGCTTATTTTTTTTCCTATTGTCAAATACATTTTCATTGTAGAAAATTCAGAAAAAGGGAAAAAAGTCATAATCCCATCACTCTAAGAAATCTACATTTAATCTTTTCTTACAAGCTTTTTTAAAAAATGCTTATGTCTGTATTTTCACCCAGTTTAAATGATAACTGAGATCATATTAATCCTGTGTTATACTTGTTTGACTAAGCATTTCCCCACATCCTTAAAAAGATATTAAGATTAACTTTAAAACTGGCACCTGCTACAGACTGTGATTTCCAGTTTGTTGGAAAGACAAAGCTTTGTATAATGTTTGTGTGTATTTGGCTCAAAAATCTATAAAATGAGGTCTAAGGTTGCAATCTGGGCTTGTGTACATGGTATGAGGAGGGTTAGTAGAGATATACATATGCATTTTAAATCATTTGAATAGTCTCTTATTCATTTGTATTATCAATCAGTTCTAAATAACCCAAATTATTAGAGCACATAAAGGATTGGCTTGTTTTATTTTTAAATCCGGTGAATGAAAAGCCTGAATTTTGAAAAGCCTGAATTTGTAAAATTCTACTACTCCAATGTCATCTAAACTTTGTTAGTTTTTTTTTTTTTTTTTTTTGTGGTACACGGGCCTCTCACTGTGGTGGCCTCTCCCCTTGCGGAGCACAGGCTCCGTACACGCAGACTCAGCGGCCATGGCTCATGGGCCCAGCCGCTCCGCGGGACGTGGGATTTTCCCGGACCGGGGCACAAACCCGTGTCCCCTGCATCGGCAGGCAGACTCTCAAGCACTGCGCCACCAGGAAAGCCCTAAACTTTGTTAGGTTTTGAAGTGACTAGTGGGGAGTAGGAGAGGCCAAATGGCTTAGCAGTTACTCCACCAGAGCATGTTATTTAATCTTTTTTGTTTCCTGTGTTTCTGTGTAAAGGTGATATTAAAAATAACATATGAAGCAATTGCTCTAGTACCTGGCACATGTTGATAGCTAACATTTATCTCTTTCTCAAATGAAGCCTTCAGATTAGCACTTATGAGTTTTTACTGCTGACTTCTATTCTTCCTAATGCCTCTCGGCCACACTCCCACATAGATACATAAAAGAGTAAAAGAAATTTGACAACAATTTACTAAAACAAGCATGTGTGTTCCCTGCATTCACATGTATAACAGAACTTTAGACTCTTGAGCAACCCTAGCAACACTAAGTACTCACAATTTTCGTTTGTTTTTGTCTTAGTTTTGCTGTGCCAGAGGGTCACTTGAGTACTGGATAAGTAGTCTGCTCACTCACCAACTAACAGGGACTCAAATGCTTGATACATGAGTATTTTTTAAAAGATCATACTATAAAAAGAAAGGGTTACTATATTCTTGAGGACATTACAGACTTGGAGAATTAGACTGTACCTCAAAAAGGTGATATCTATAAACTGAACTACATAAGCAACAACATACAAAGAATTATTTCTTAGGTTAAAAAGAACTAAAACATGTCAAACATACAGCACACACGTTCTTCTATTATACCACTATCCAGCTGGCAGTTTTGGAACACTGCACAGGGCACTGGTCTAAGCACTTTATGTGAACTAATTTAACCATTAATGATAAATATTCCAATGATACCTGTTACAATCAAATCTGAATAGAAGTAGAAATACAACAGCATTATCAAAAAACTAGAATAATAGCAAAAAGTCTTTATAAATTTTAGCAAATACCAGAGTCATATAAGGTTATTAACAATAAAACCAGTATTTCACTTCTCTTTTAGGGTTCAATATTCACCTGCTACTGAAAAACATTGCTAGATTATTCCACAGATACTCAGGTCATTCTGAGAGAAGAACATCAGAGTGGAGTGAAAAATTCATGCTGAGCCAAAGCGAGTTTTGCAAACCCTAATGTTCCTCCCTACACCCTAAAACACCTGGCTATTAATTTTTTTTTTTTGCGGTACGTGGGCCTCTCACTGTCGTGGCCTCTCCCGTTGCGGAGTACAGGCTCTGGATGCGCAGGCTCAGCGGCCATGGCTCATGGGCCCAGCTGCTCTGCGGCATGTGGGATCTTCCCGGACCGGGGCACGAACCCATGTCCCCTGCATCGGCAGGTGGACTCTCGACCACTGCGCCACCAGGGAAGCCCCTGGCTATTAATATTTGTAGAGGGTAAAACCACACAACAAAGCATGCCTATCATATGCTATTTCCTAGTTCTCTAGAAGGAAAAGAAAATAAAAAGACAAGATAGGAAAGAGTATCACAATGTGAGAATTGAGAGAGGCAGGAAGGAAATAAGAGGGCTAAAATGTATAATAAAAATACCCAATCTTTCTATTTGTGGAGCCAAACAAGTCTCCAAAACAAACAACAAATAAATACACACCTGTTAGACCAATCATCTTACCTGAAGAGTCCTTGTTTAAAAAGATAAGCACTAATATGACCCCCTTCTAGATATCGGATTTCACAACCAGGCCAAATTTCTTGTAGACTTCGAACTCCTGTTCGTGGAATATAGGCATCTTCTTTGGCTTGAACCACTATGATGAGGCTTGGGTCAACTGGAACTAGGTACAGGATTGTTTTTAAGATGCAACATATATACTTTTAAGAAGCTCTAAGAATTTTATATAAATACTAGTAATCATATTGGAAAATAAAATACACCATACAATGCAGTAGGTAAAACATTTGCCGAACTAAAACTTTGGATTATTAAGTTAAAAAATCAACTATACTATACCATAACATTATAATATTCATCTCTAATACAAAATTGAGATGAATATTGTAAAGAAGATACAAAACCCAATGTTTTTAAAGAACTAATAAAATTAGTCTTAGATTTTCATGGATAAAATTTAAATGTGATACATTTACATAACCAACTTATCTTAGAAAACACATTGTGGAGCCAACAATAAATATATTCTTGAAAATATGAAATTATCTTGTAAAGCATCCTTAAAAATATTTCACATATTTTACATATCATCAGCATGATTATCACATATCATCAGCAAATATTCTCAATTTCACATAAAAATTAATACCTGAGAAATTTGCTACATGAGTACATTCATCCATTACTCCTTTCATAAATATTAAAGATTCTTTCTGAAGAGTGTTTCTTCTTTGTTCTTTACTGAGTAGGTGGTATGACTGAGGATTACAATGCGTATAACTACTTTTGTTGGTTGAAAGTGTTTGATTGAAGCACCCCATCCTAGAGGTATCTTGCAACAAGAGTCCTTCTGATGTGGCACTGATAGATGTTTTACTAGATTTATGGCACTCAGCAGCTTTTTGAGACACAACTTGGTCCGCCATATCTAAATTTAAAGTTCTAGAAACCAGGTTAAGGTTAGTTAGCTTGTCTGCACTGCTATGGATGTGTTTCAGGAACTCTTGTCCCATTTTGAAAGAATCTGTCTGATTATATGAAAGAAAAGAAAATGTCATTTAATATAAAATAGGATTTTATTTAACAACCTTGTTAAAACAGAGAAAACACAAATGTCCATCAATGGATAAACAAAATGTAGTATATACATACAATAGATTATTATTCAGTCTTAAAAGGAAATGAAATTCTGACACATGCTACAACATGGATGAACTTTGAAGACATTATGCAAAATGAATAAGCCAGACACAAAAGGACAATATTATATGATTCCATTTTTATGAGGTACCTAGAGTACTCAAATTCATACAGACAGAAAGTAGAATGGTAGTTGCCAGGGGATGGGAAGAGGGGTGAATAGAGTTTTGTTTAATGGGTACAGAGTTTCAGTTTAGGAAGATGAAAAAGTTCTGGAGATGGATGGTGGTGATGGTTGCACAACAATGTAAATGTACTTAATACTACTGAACTGTATACTTAAAAATGGTTAAAATGATAAATTTTATATTGTGTATATTTTACCATAATAAAAACAAAAAGAGAAAAGAGATGTCAAAATTTAACTGAGAATGAAGATAAATGATACTTTATTGCTGAATGTTTCTTACTAAATAGTAAAGAGTATCATTTAGCCTGTGACATGTGTTTTGTTTTGTTTTGGCTGGACCTTGTGGTTTGCAGGATCTCAATTCCCTGACCAGGGATTGAACCTGAGTCCCCAGCAGTGGAAGCACGGAGTCCTAACCACTGGACCTCCAGGGAATTCCCACCTGTGTCATGTTTTTTATTGCCAAAGTTTTGAAATCCATGATTTGCTTTAACCTTAGGGCTTCTAAAATTCTTATGAGTGCATCCTGACAGTAATACACCAGCCACCACAAATCCCTTTCTCAGGCTGAACTAAGAAAAATTAAAAATTATCAAGGTTGGACATCCCTGGTGCTGCAGTGGTTAAGAATCCACCTGCCAATGCAGGGGACACGGGTTTGAGCCCTGGTCCAGGAGGACTCCACATGCTGCAGAGCAACTAAGCCCGTGCGCCACAACTACTGAGCCTGCGCTCTAGAGACCGAGAGCCACAACTACTGAGCCCGTGTGCTACAACTACTGAAGCCCATGCGCCTACAGCCCAAGCTCCCCAAAAGAGAAGCCACTGCAATGAGAAGCCCGTGCACCACAGCAAAGAGTAGCCCCCACTCGCTGCAACTAGAGAAAGCCTGCACACAGCAACGAAGACTCAATGCAGCCAAAAATAAATAAATTAATTAATTAAAAACAAAAAACTTATAAACATGTTCAATTTCACTTATCCTTAAGTAAATTTTTTTTTGCTGAGGGATGCAGGATCTTAGTTCCGTGACCAGGGATTGAACCCATGCCCGCTGTAGTAGAAGCGTGGAGTCCTAACTACTGGACGGCACCGCCAGGGAAGTCCCTACTTAAGTAAATTAAATAAAAACTATACCAAATTTCCCTGCCTGGTTGACCAAAAAACCATGTAAGTCTGATAACACACTGAATTTGTGAACTTATGGGGAAACAGACACACATGTTCCTGCTGGTAATGTAAATTCACACAACTAGAATTAGACAAAATCTAAGATTACAACTGCTTATACCCTTCTACTCAGCAACAACATTTCTAGGAATTTGCACTTGTCAACTGATGTATGTACAATGTTACTCATTGCAGAACTGTTTGTTAATAGTGAAGGATGAGAAGCAACATAAATGCCCAGCAACAGGATACTGGTTAATAAATCATGGTACATCCGTCCACATAATAGGCTGTTATGCAGCAGTGAAAAAGAAAAAGGAAACATTTGTGTATTGTCCATAAGAAAAGGGAAGAGAGAAAAGTTGAGATTTCTTTCGGTTTGAAAAATTCCTTGAAATAATAATATAGTGGGTTATTTGTTGACAGAGATAGGACCTAGGCAAACTGGGAACAAGGGTAGGAATCGTTTTACTATATTTCTTTTTATACTTTTTGATGCTTGAACTATATGACCATACAACCTATTTAAAAAATAAAAGAACGAAAAATGGGTTGAAGGCAAGGGAAAACAAACAAACCACAACAACCTGGTTAGCAGAACAAATCACTAAAGCTATCCAGATCACAGAAATATAAAAAGGAAGGAAAGGAAGTTTAGTAACATCAGGAAATGGAAGATCAAAGCATCCCAGAATTATTCAAAGCAGTACATCAACAAATTTAATTTCTTTTGATTGGGAAAACACAGTTTTTAAAATAAAAAAAAGGAAGCTGGCTTGATATTTCTTGAATATTCATAACTGTGAACTAGTTCTAACTAAGACAAAAGGACTCTTGTATACAATCACCAAGAGTCACAGAGAGAAAGGGCTGGAGAAGAATACACTGTCATTTCAGACAGCCAAAATTTATGAACCTCCCTTAAAAAATGCACGTTAGGTTTCCTCATAAGCTCTCAAATACAAGTATCTTTCTGATTATATGTATAGTGGGACACAGGAACTAGCAAACAGGGAGAGCTATTTTGTAATAAAGTTCTTAGGCAAGTAATTAACTGCCCTTTGAAGCTCCGCAAAATAGACCTATTTTACAAGTGAGCCCCCCTCCCCCCGCCTCCCTTCCCCCCTGCCTCCATTCCCCCCTCC